GACCACGAAGTCGGCTCCGCCCAAGCGAGGACGGGGCCAACATACAACTCCCGTTGACATAAGGTAACCCTGATCTCCCTCTCTCTCTTACCCTTTCTTGCTGACTCCGCACACATCACTCCCGCTGACAAGATCTCGGACCATGGTTTCGCGGTTGAGGTTACCCTGAAGGTAGACACCAAGGCGCGTCTGGGTCCAAGTATCTGGAGGTTACAGGCTGCTATGGTAACAGACCCAGTGTGAGACAGATTATTGAAGAGTTGTTATCCAAAATACAGGTTACAGACGGTAAGAGCTTTGAGCTGCTGCTGGCAAGGCTCAACGTGCATCTGCGTGCGTATACAAGGGAGGAGAGTAAACGCGTTCGCGCGACGTTCACTCACCTGATGTCGGCTGTGGCAGACCTTTGGCAGGCAGTGATGGCAGACCCAAGATGCAGCCGTCTGCGCGGTCTTCTGGAAGAAAAAGAAGGGTCACTGAAAGAATACTTGGCCAACAAGCGTGACCGGCAACATCTGATGGGAGGCCTGGACACGGAACTCACTGGAGAGGTCACCGGGAAGCAGTTGTCGGCCCTGACAAAAACGCGGAAAAGCAGGACAATGATAAATGAGGTCACTGTCGGAGGGACTTCAGTGTCGGGTGCGCAAGAGATACTCACAGCGGCCTCGGACTATTTCAGGGGGATCTTCGGGAAGGATAAGAGGCTTGATTTCAGTGACTGGAGGCCTGTGAGGGACAGACAGCTCAGGACTGGAGAAGCAGTGGGACTGGATGCAGACAGGACTGAGGAAGAGGTGCTGGCTGCTTTCGCATCGCTGGCGAAAAACAAGTCACCGGGAAGTGACGGCATGCCGAAAGAGTTCTTCGAGGCCAACTGGGACCTCCTGGGGAAGAGTTTCATAGCACTAGTCAAAGATTTCTCTGAGACGGCGGTGCTCCCCGAGGCGGCGAAGGGTGCTGTAACGATTCTCCTGCACAAAAAAGGAGACAAGGATCAGCTGGGGAACTATCGGCCGATTACGCTGCTGAATTTCACATATAAGATTCTGGCTAAGGTGTTAGCAGAGTGTCATGCTTTTTATTGTAGAATAGGAAATAGGAAGAAACAATATAAAAGCAAGACAAAGTACAGTAGTGGGAGGTGTTATGTCGAGGCAGGAGGGAATCCACCGAGCCGAAGGCGGGGATCCGAACCAAACTGGCGAAAGCTCACGACCGTTGCGGGGCAACGGTAACCAGGAGCCGATACTTAGGCAAGCACCAGAGATAGGATTAGTTGCTTGCTTGTTTGTTTCCACTCTAAGCAACGAATTGTTTCTAGCAAACCCTAAAGCTACACCAACAGAGGAGCCAACCATAGCAAGCCCACAAAGAGTGTTGAGACGTCACTTCCGCTACTCTGCTGAGCTGAGTTTCCTAGTGGTGTTCTCTTGGCTAGGAATTTTCAACAAACCAGCAAGGATCGCGACCCGTAGTCGCCTACAGCAACATGAACGATAGATTTAAACTAAGGTCCGGACAGAGCTATCGTAGAGAAGATATTTTAGCGGAGCCAAGCTGGTGCGCAGGCGCTGCAACTGCTTCTGACCGAGGGGTAACTGCGGAAGCGGTGCGCGCGCCGGCCCCATCGACCGTAGCATATCGCACCCCGCATCAACGGGAACGCAATTGGCGCAGAGCGATGGACCCGCCTCGCAACGTAGCGTCAGATCCAGGGGAGACGCCACACGACTTGCGATGGGCCCAAGAAGCGAGAGCCCGTTGGGAAGGACGACAGGCAACTACCTCTCCGGGGGCGATGCCAGGAATGGAGTCAGTCCGAATGCACGGGTCTACCGCTTGGTTACGCCGTCAGACAGAAGACGACTTCCGGACACCGACTAACCGGGAGATGGTGGAAAGCCAGGCTGCGAAGTTACCACCAGCAATCACTCCACAGGATCGGCTGGGCGAGAAGCGATGGCTGAGTGGGGCTCTCCCGAAGCTGGAAGTGGCCGAGCGGTTTACCGGAATCCCCGGCGTGGGACCCACCCTGAAAAACTACCTGATGCAGTTGGAGACGGTGCAATACTGCTGGGAGCGAGACGGTTTGGACCCGGCTGAGTTCTTTCGGCGGATGGTAGTTACTTTGGCGGGCGAGGCGGAGACCTTCTATCGAATGACACGCAGCGAAGTATTGGAAGAGTTAGAATGCGGAGAGATCGAGAATCCCACGGCACGTTTCATCGAGTTACTGAAGAAGGAGTTTCTGGGGCAGACTAAGGCGAGGGTAGAAGAATTCCGCGAGTTCCGCCGAGGAAAGGACGAATCACTGCTGGCCTATTACTGCAGGCTGCGAGAACTCGCCGACGATCTGGAAAGTCAAGACGAACGGCTGTTAGTGCGCAAGTTCGTAAGAGGGCTGGATGAAGATCTGAGGAATGTGGTGCGGAACACGGTGTACGGCGTGGGTGCAGATATCACACTGAAGGAAGTGTACGGACTGGCGAAACGGACGGAACACGCACAACGGATGCTAGACCTCGAGAACGGAGAGGTGCGTCCAAAAGCGAAATCCTCGTGGGCGGCAGCAGCTCTGGTGGAAGCACCGCAGGGAGGACCGACGCGGAGCGACGCACGTCGGTGTCACGAATGCGGGGAGCCCGGCCACCTCAAGCGCGACTGCCCGAAATTGCCGGTGTGCGGGAACTGCGGGCGAAAGGGGCATAAGGACGACGTATGCTACAGTCGCTGCCGTCAAGAAGATAACCCTAGCAAGGAAGAGCTGCAAGCCGAGATCAAGAAGTTACAGCTGAAGCTGGAAGCGAAACCGCGGGTTGAGCCGAAAGCCCGAGCGATGCTGGCTTATGAAGAGATCGAAGGAGAGGAAGAAGGCGAGGGCGAGTATCTGCATGCGAGCGGGTTCATGGCGTTCCCAAGAGGGAGAGATGAGATTGACCTACGGCCCAGGGCGAGCCAGTCCTCCGAGAGCCGCACTTGCCGGGTACGGGAGCCAAGAGGCAACCTCCACAAGGGGAGCAGTACGTCGGAGCTGCGCCGACACCCCAACGAGAGGCTCGTGTGTCAGGCGTCCGTCTTAATTGCAGAGAAAGGGAGCCGCCAGTGGGACAAGCAACCATAGACACTGGCGCGCATCACGTACTGATCGGAAAGGGGCTAGCAAAGCAACTGAAGCTGGATATGCCGGGAAGGGTGGTACAGAGAGGGATCCTGCTCATGACGGCTGAAGGGGGGGAGCCTAAATGGATGCCACGGACCGTACGGTCTATCGAGATCGTACTGCTTCCGGGATCGGAGAAGGAATGCTGCATCCGCGTGACGTGTGGGGTGTCAGAGTCTGAGGACTACGACGTGCTGGTAGGCATGGAGCTGCAGTACCGTGTCGGCGCCACTATTTGCACTTGGCAAGAGAAGGTGTTGTACCGCGTACACTACTGGGACCCGGAAAGCTCGGTCGGCACCCTGCCTGTGAAGTTCGTCCGGCAAGAGCCCCGGGAAGCTTACGGAGCCCGCCAAGCCGACCTGGGCCCCGTGCTGGACGATTGGAGCTGGGAGAGATACGCTGAAGAATACGAACAGCGGATCGAGAGGAGGAGACAAGGGAGAGAACCGTAGTCACTGAAGGAGAGAGTGACTCGGTTATGGACCCTGGAAGAGGCATTGTGCGTTATGGAGCTGTATGGTGGTATCGGTACAGGACTAGCAGCGGTGCTGCGGGCGGGGTGCAAGGTGCGGAAGTGGATTCATATCGAGAGAGACCCGGTGGTTCGCAGGATGGCCCAGCACTACGCTAAGCTGCTGCTGGAAGACTACCCGGACCAGATCGCCGAGTCAGCCATACCAGCTGAGGGAGAGGAAGTGGTGGATGATGTGCGGGATATTACTGAAGAGCAACTGGAGAAGTGGGGGCAGATCGATGTGATTATAGTCGGGTGGAAATGCCAAGGTTACTCCCGCGCGGAAGAAGGGATGGGGATGGAAGATATCAGAGGGGCCTCTTTCAGGGACTTGAAGCGAGTGCTGGAGATGGTCCAGCGGAAGCAGGGGGAGGTGCTATACATTCTGGAAAATGTCGACTTTGCCGAGGACCGCCGAGAACACGTGCGGAGAGCGTTCGTGGAAGTAGAAGCTGCGGTGGGCCGGGGGCAAGCGGTGGATGCTGCGCAGCTGGGGTCTAGGGCACACCGGCCTAGGAGGTACTGGCAGAATGGGATCTCCGACGCCAGCCTCCGCCATGCGTTGGCGCAAATGCAGCGACCGGAGCCCCGGCTGGTCAGTGACATCTTAGGCCCCAACCGACTGCCCGCGCCCGTCACGACCCACGACCATCCGTCGCAGTATCAATGCAACGTGCCTGGGAAGCCTAGGAAAGCGCTGCCGACGCTCGTGTCTTACGTCGACGCCTACGGGTTCGTGATGGAAGGAGACTTACCGGGGCCGGGGATGATCTACGACGTCATAGGGAAGCGATGGGAGCAGCCCACGGCAGAGGAACGAGAGCTGGCCATGGGACACCGATTGGGAGCCACTGCCCACCCACGCGTGACAGAGCCCCAGAGGCGAGCCGCACTAGGCAGGGCCATGGACTTGAACGTCATGTTGTGGCTAGTGGAAACCATCCGCATCCATCTCCGTAGGAAGGAGCTCCAACGAGACATTGAGGTTAGCGAGCTTTACCAAGAGGAAGCGGAAGCCGAGTGGAAGAGGTGTCAGCTGCGGGCAATAGAGGAGCAGCAGGAGTCCCGCATCCTGGAAGGGTGGGCCTATATGGCGCTAGAAGCGCGAGAAGGGGCAGCGGAGCAAGGAATACTGCCACCAGACGGGGAAGAGAGCGCCCCGGCAGAGAAGCCGAATAGGAGAGGGGTCCGGAGGACGACTGGCCCATAGGCAATGGAATGGGGGCAGAAGCGGCTCGTGTGTTGCAGGAAGTGCTGAAGCAGCACCGGAAGACTTTCGCCTACACGTTACAAAAGCTGGGCCAGTGCAACTCCCACCAGATGCAAGTGAAACTGACTACCGAGGTGCCTATCTACCAGAGAAAGCGGAGGATGAGCCCAGGTGACATTGATGTGTGTCGGGAGAAGTGCGCCGAGCTGCTAGCGGCGGGTCTTATCCAGACCTCGGACAGTGACTACGCGGCGGCCACGGTGGTGGCCGCGCGGAAGGATCTTACGGGAGAAGTGTCAGCGAGGAGGATGTGTGGGGACTACCGGGGACTCAACAAAGTGACAGTAGCGGACAGGTATCCCATGCAATCGGCGGAGGAGATATTCGACAGGCTGCAAGGGGCGGTGGTGTTCAGACGCTAGACCTCAGGCAGGGATTCAACCAGATACCTATCAAGGAGGAGGACAGGAAGAAGACCGCGTTCCACGGGCCCGACGGGTTGTACGAGTGGAAGTTCATGCCCTTCGGTATGAAGAACGCGCCGGCATTGTTTCAGCGAGTGATGGACTCGGTGTTGAGGAATGTACCTGCAGCAGCCTGTTACATTGACGATGTAGTCGTGTTCAGTGCGTCAGCCGAGCAGCACGTGAAGGACGTGAGCGACACCTTGGCAGCCATACGAGACGCCGGGCTGACCTGCCATCCGAAGAAATGCAGCTTTGGGAACAGTTCAGTGAAATATCTGGGGTTCGAGGTGCAAGGGGGGCAGCTGAGCATCCAGCAAGCGAAAGTGGAGGTGCTGGATCGCGTCTCCGCTCCCAAGGACCGTAGCACGCTGAGAGTCGTGTTAGGTTTTCTCAACTACTACAGAAAGTTTGTACCCAACTTCAGCCGCACCGCGGCGGTTCTGAACAAGCTGCTGCGAGAGGAGCAGGCATGGCAATGGGGAGAGGCCGAACAGGGGGCGTTTAAAGCCCTACTCAAGGCTGTGAAGACAGGGACCGTCTTGACCCTGCCCAACAAGGAAGACCCCTTTGTACTCTACACCGAATGGAGCAGTGCAGGCATGGGAGGCATCCTGTGTCAAGAAAGGGAGGGATAGGAGATGGTCGTTGCTTTCGCGAGCAGGAGCTGCAACCCCGCAGAAGCAAATTATAGCTCCTATGAAGGAGAAGGGTTAGCAGTAGTGTGGGCTATTACTCATTTCCGCGTGTACCTGCAAGGGAGGCCCTTCGTTTTAGTCACGGACCATCAGCCTCTGACCTGGCTGATGACCAACCAGGCACTGACCGGCAGGAACGCCAGGTGGGCGATGCGGCTGCAAGAATACGAGTTTACCATACGACAGAGGGCCGGGAAGACGCTGCAGCACGTAGATGGGCTCTTGCGTAATCCTCCACCCACGAGTCCCGAGGCGTGCTTGGTGGCGCCGGCGCGGGAGATAGATGGAGAGGGAGTGAAGCAGAAGGCGCAGAAGGGAGCGGAAGACATCTGGGAGGATGTTGAGACCCTGCGCTGGATCCAAGGCAAAACCTTAGAAGCGGAGCCAGTGAATGAAAGGGCCCGAGCCAGAGGGCTGCATTTTTGGTGGTACCAGAACCAGCTGTAGAAAAATACAAAGGAAGGGTGGAAGCTGGTACCCAAACGGGAGGAGAGAGAAGAGATAATCGCGAGGGTGCATCGGCAGCTGGGACACTACGGCAGTCTGCGGACCAGCCAGCTGATCGAGACAGGCTGGTGGTGGGCATGAATGAGAGGAGACGTCAAGGAATGGTTGGGTTCCTGCGAGCTGTGCAGCAGGAATAAAGCGGAGCTAGAGAGGGGGAGGGAGGAGCTGCAGTCCTTGTCCATCAGAGGGATAGGTTTTTGTTGGTCGCTGGACTTGGCGGGAGAAATGCCGCTCAGTCGGAGGGGAAAGAGATTTATCCTGATCATGATCGAGCACGGCAGCAAATGGGTGGAGGTCAAGGCGCTGCCTAGTAAGAGCTATGCCAAGATCGCGGAGGCATTCGAAGACCAGGTGTTGACACGCTTCGGGGCCTGCGGGGAAGTGCTGACCGACCATTCACCAAGTTCTTAGGAGAGTTCGAGAAGCTGCTGAAGGCTAGCGGCATCACGCACCGAAGAATATCTCGGTACCATCCACAGAGCGATGGGTTGACGGAGAGGTTCGTGCAGACGGTGAAAAGAGGATTACGGGCCTACGGGGAGTGGTTCAAGAGGGACTGGGATACGCGGCTGCCGTGGGTGGCGGCAGGTTACCGATTTAGCAAGCAGACGGCCTTACGAGACTTCCCATACTATCTGCTGCTGGGGAGGGAACCCATCTTGCCAGTGGATGCGCCACGGCTCCTTACTGACGTCGTCATTGTCAGCTCGGACGAAGCATAGGTGGGATTGGCATAGGCGCGTGCAAGGTACCTGAGAGAAATGCTGCCGGCTGCATTAGAGAACTTGCAAGTGGCGCAGCTTAGGGATGCGCAGAGATACAAAAGGAGGAAGGAGGGACAGCCAGGACAGAAGGGGCAGCAGCTGGGAGTGGGGGAGGAAGTGTATGTCAAGCAGGCAAAGCAAGATATGCTAGACATAGGGCTGAGCACCGAACGGTGGAGAGTGAAGGAAGTCAAGGATTACGGTGTAGTGGTGCTGGTAGGAGAGAAGGGGCAGGAGAAGAGGGACCATCGGATGAACGTGGCACGAGCCCGGCCCCAAAGGGATCCCCAAGCGCCAAGGATTAGCGGCATGCCTGCAGAGGAAGGACAGCCTTTCGGCCAGAAGGTCTGTCGGTCGCCAGGGACACAGCAGGCACCGAGGAGGGGGCAAGAGGGAAAGGCTGGGCCGGAAACACAAGGCATGAACCGGGAATTGAGGAACTTGATGGGGTGAAGTGAAGGGCATGCCAATGGAGTACCCCTAAGGGAGAGGAGAGAGGCTGGAATATCCGCAGAAAGAAGAGAGATTCCAACAGCTGTCATGCTTTTAATTGTAGAATAGGAAATAGGAAGAAACAATATAAAAGCAAGACAGAGTACAGTAGTGGGAGGTGTTATGTCGAGGCAGGAGGGAATCCACCGAGCCGAAGGCGGGGATCCGAACCAAACTGGCGAAAGCTCACGACTGTTGCGGGGCAACGGTAACCAGGAGCCGATACTTAGGCAAGCACCAGAGATAGGATTAGTTGCTTACTTGTTTGTTTCCACTCTAAGCAACGAATTGTTTCTAGCAAACCCTAGATCTACGCCAACAGAGGAGCCAACCATAGCAAGCCCACAAAGAGTGTTGAGACGTCACTTCCGCTAGTCTGGTGAGCTGAGTTTCCTAGTGGTGTTCTCTTGGCTAGGAATTTTCATAGAGGGAAAGGCTGGGCCGGGAACACAAGGCATGAACCGGGAATAGAGGAACTTGATGGGGTGAAGTGAAGGGCAGGCCAATGGAGTACCCCTAAGGGAGAGGAGAGAGGCTGGAATATCCGCAGAAAGAAGAGAGATTCCGACAAGAGCGGATGAAGAAGGTGCTGCATCGGGTGATCTCCCCAGATCAATACGGTTTCATCCCAGGTCGCAGATATCATCGATGCAGCAAAGAAAAAGAGTGAAGACTGGTTCTTGATGCTCGTTGATTTCCAAAAAGCCTTCGACTCAGTGTCGAGGAGCTTCATCTTCCAAGTGTTGAGGCGCATGGGCTTCCCGGAGCGTTTTGTGTCGTGGGTTGAAGGCCTGCACTCACACACTTCAACGAAGATGCTGCTCAACGGCTGCCTGGGAGATGGCATCGAGGTGGTGTCGGGTGTTCGCCAAGGCTGCCCGTTAGCCCCGTACCTGTTTCTGTGCGCGGTGGAGCCACTGGTGCAGGATGTGGAGCGGAAAAAGCTGGGGCTGGAAATTGGTGGGGAGCGGTTGTCATATCTCGGATACGCCGACGATACCACGCTGGCTCTGCAAGGGAAGCAGCAGATCGTTAGGGCGGAGGGCATCCTGACAGAATTCGCAAAGAAATCGGGACTATGCATAAATGTGGAGAAAACGGTTGTCTTACCACTCGGACGGAACCGTGGGTACAAGGCGCCGACGTGCAGTACCTTCAAGTGGGCGGAACCGGACGACGCGGAGAGACTGCTGGATGTATGGGTAACCCCAGATGGAAGCGGGCTCCCCACCTGGGAGAAGGCACTGGAGGAGATTGCAAAAAGGCTGGTGAAATGGAGGCAGAAATACCTCACGGAGAAAGATAGGAGCGGTGGCGAACGACTATATCCAGCTGATCATGACTTTCCAGGCGCAGGTCTATCCACCACCTGCGAAGATATGGGAGGAGCTGGAGAGAATGATTCACAATTTGGTCTCGGGAAACAAAGCAACATCGACGCGGGGTTTCTTCCTTTGGAGCAAGGAGCTGTTGTACACCCCCCGCAGTGAAGGTGGCATGGGGGTAAGGGACCCAAGCATCACCCTCGCATGTCTGGCCGCGAGGAGGATCGGGTTGATGATGATAGAGACGAGCCAGTTGAAGCGGAAATTGATGATTCAAGTGGCAGATCTTCCGATGGGGCTGGACACTTTCATGTCGCATGACCGCCTCCTGCGACACTGGGAAGGGAGAAGTCAGAGGTGGAAGCAGATGTGTGAAACCTTCATGAAGTCGCCGCTTTGCATCAAAACGGTTAATGTGACGCGGGAAGCAGTCGCGGAGGAGAGGCTAGTGTTCAAAGGAGCGATCATGGTCGGAATGGCCACGCCCGTGGGAGGACAGAAAGACGCCGAACCACTATGGAACTTTCGGCTGGGGGACATGGTGAAGCGACTGCAGGATGGAAGCTGGTCGCTGAAAACCATGGAGGAGCTCACAGCGAGGCTGGGAGGCAAGGGGCCAGCCAGACTCGCGCTGAGGGGTTTCGCAGCAGCGCCTAAGTAATGGAGAACCTGCTTGCTGACCTCTGCTGCAAGCTCGGCTGGTTCACCCCCGAGGGATTGGAGAAGACTCCCGCAGCTGCCAATCTTGAGAGATGGGGGGGTAGTTCCGCTCAAGGAGATGAGAAGTCACTGGAAGGGGCTGCGCGAGCAGTTGCACAGGATGTTGAGATGGGCCGGCAAGTGGAAAGGCTCTATAAACTGGAAGCTGATCACGGGCATCAGAGAATCACTTGCCACACCCAATCGACCGAGGGACATGCTGACAAGGGTGTACAACTTCAACCTTCAAGTGGGGGAGAGACTGGCCTTTTTGGCAGATAAGCCAATGTGCCCACACTGCGGGGATGAGGAGACACTGGAGCATTGTCTTTTCACCTGCCCGAGAATGCAGGTGGTGGTGTCGGCGCTGAAGAAATCGCTCCCCCTCGTCAACCCGCTCCGCGAAACAGAGTCCCTGGGGGATCTGCTGTTCCGCAAGGCCGGTTCGAGCACGCTACACCAACTCTGGCTGGAGAGATGCGAGGCGGTTTTCCGGGGGAAGAAGTTCGTGCGCGGAGAGTGATGAGGAGGATTATCTTCGCCTTCTGACAGCATGTACGAGTCTATGTGAAGGCTCGCCTCTCCACGTGGCAAAAAAGGAAGAACACGGCGCGAGCTGGCAAGCTCTAAAAGGAATTACTGGAGGAACACCGTCTACTGAGCAGGATAAGGAAAGCTTATGACAAGAAGTGGACCTGGACAAGATCTTTTGAGTCCATCTGGTCCAATCCTAAGACAGTTTACAACCCGCCATAGACATCCGCTGGGGCAGTCGGCCCTGCCCTCGCTTGAAGCGGTTACGACCGTTATTGTTTGTATGCATCAACTACACCATGTATACTTACAATTCAAAAAAAAATCTTCTTCAATTCGTAGCGTCGCCATTTGCCGTTCCAACACCACAGCTACCGCCGCTGTTGCAGGAGCGTGTACACCCTTGAGAGCAGCCCATGCCTTTGGTCCCTTCTTTGGTTCACGCTGGAATGGCTTGATGTGACGGATCTGGTTGCTCCCCAACGCTTGCCCAAGTAGGAGGTAGCCTTGTGCGCTCTTCCGCACCCACGAGCTCTTCTCCGGGTCGTTCTCGGGACGCTTATCCGTTCCTTCCATCACCTCCAGCAGGTCATAATGGTCAAACACGTTCTCCATCCTA